CCAACGCCCAGAAAGCAGCAGCAAAGTCCAGTGCAAATTCGAAGCAGAAGGCCTCTGCAAAAGCCAAATCTCGCAGCGGCGGCAAGCCCAGACAAGGGTCAGGTGCCGGCGGAAGTGGCAGTGGCGCTGCTTCTGGGGTCGCTGCTGACCCACTCAAGGATTTGTTGGCTTCGCTTGGAGTGGATTGTCCAGAGAAGCTTGAGGATCGGGAGAAGCTTGTGAATGAATTGATCAGCCGTGAGGACAAGTTGGAGGAGATTGCATCCAAAGCCCGCGAAGCAATTGTCAAGCCAGACAAGATTCCGATCACCAGAATGGTTGCTCAGGAGGAGAAGAACACCCGTGCTGCCAGAGCCCGTGTTATGCAAGAAGCATTGGCCCAAGCTCAAAAAGCAGCTGCATCAGCAGCTGACCCTGCGACCGCTGACAAGGAGAAGTTGGAGAACAAAGATACCACTGATCCAGGCGCCAATGCTCACAAACTTGGGCCTTTGGCATATGCAGCTTCGATCAAAGGTGGCAGCAAGCTCTTTAAGTCCAGAACTACCAGCGGTAAGAAGACTGACCAGTCCCTCGCCCATATGATTGCCCTAGGCAAACATTTGTTAAAATGATGTCTCCGATGACTCGCCGTCAATCTGTAGGATGAGATTTTGAGTGGACAAGGAATGACAAAGTATGTCTGAATAGATGCTATCACTACCATCATCATGAATCATCATCAGTTTTGGTATGAACTTTCATTGTTGCAGTCTCAGGATTCCCTTTGGTTAAGTAAAAGATATGACTATGAGTAGCCAGTAACCAATGTTTGTTGTCACAGAATCGGCGACCACTGGGGCTTTTTATGCGCATTAGCATGTGGGGTGATGAGATGCCGAATGTGCATTATGCCCTTTGCCGCTGGCTGTGTGTGGTTTTGAAGGACCATACTCGCAGCCTTGATTTTCTTTCTTAGTGTTTGTGTGCCGAAAGCAGCATATCTATACTATACGACGCAACATTTGCAACTTGCAGATGTGAAATCCATGAAAACTTGAAACCAGACTTGGGCCAACAGAGACCCAGCAACTAGCGCAATGAGAAAAACGAAGTGGGTTTGAGCGGTTTGAGCGTCTTCATGAGCTACTGAAGCTGCTGAAGCTGCTGAAGCTGATGAATCTTGGAACCATGGATGCACATATGTGCATCAACCTCAGGTGCCTCATGTGGTTGTTGGATGGTGTGCGGTTCAATCTTGATGATGTGACATGTGTATCCCCATCTGACCAGCTAATGCAGGGCGACCCTGATACCTCTTGTATAAGGGTTACATTAATGCTAATAACAGGATGTATCGGTGAGTTGACGCATTCCTGTTGCCAGTGATTGGCTTCATCCACTTAGTAAGATTGAAGGTCTCGAACAGTAACTTAAAGGCCGGTGCTTGATCAGGGTGCTCCAGCTGGTCTGCGGTACTTTACCTGCAAATTCCCGCAGCAAATGGCTCTTGCACAATGTTGAAATGCATTTCGCTTGCGCCAACTCGCACAAAGTGTGGTCCCCAGTCTTGGCCTCCGGCATTGTACCTGTAAATTCTCGCACAAAGTGGCTCTTGTGAAATGTCCAAGTGCATGTCGGACTGCGCAAACTCGCACAAAGTGTGGTCCCCAGTCTTGGTCTGCGGCATTGTACCTGTAAATTCTTGCACACAGTGCTTCTTGTGCAATGCCCAAGTGCATTTCGACTGCGCAGGCTCGCACAAAGTGTGGTCCCTGGTCTTGGGGTCGGTCCTCCTCCTCAACATCATCTTCCTTAACATCATCATCTTCCTCCTTCTCCACATCATCATTCTCATCATCATCATCTTCCTCCCCCTTGGCCTCATAATCCTCATCATCAACCTCCACCTCATCTTCCGCAACATTATCATCCTTTTCACCATCCTCCTCAACATCATCATCCTCAACTTCGTCATCCCCCTCCTTCTCAACATCATCATCCTCCACCTTTTCAATCTCCACTTCATCTTCCGCATTATCATCCTCATCCTCAGCCTCCTCAACATTATCATCCTCAACATTATCGTCCGCAAAGATATCATCCTCATTATCCTTAACATCATCATCCTGCACCTCATCATCCTGAACATCAACATGCTCAACATCATTGTCCGCAACACCATCGTCATCATCACCATCATCACCATCATCATCAACAACACCAACAGTATCATACATTATCCTCCCACTCCCCAACACAGTTTGGGGTCTCTTGCCGGGATGTTGTTTAGGGGTTTACAAAAGCACGCATGTAAAATATGAGTATATCATTGAGAAGTGACGGTTGGCTGATGAGTAGTTGGCAGCCCAATAACATGGTCAGAATCCTGATGATACAATGAACCTGAAAATCAAGAAAATTCCCCTGGGAAATGAAGGGGTGGATCGAACACGCGTTGATTGACAATCCAACCACATCCAATCACAATTCCACACGTGGGAACCTAGTTGGGGTGTTTTACCCACCAATAATATAATGGGGATTATCACCTAAGAAACTTCAGATAGTCAAACTTCCGACCTATGGACAGATGCAGCAACAGGTCAGGTGTGGGAAGTGTCAGAGAAGAGAAAGTCAGTAGAAAGAAGATTAAAGTGCGCGAAAAGGTAGAAAAGTCGCGAAACGCTGTGCTTTTCCAATAATGTGTTTCCGGAGGATCGAAGAGTAGGCGCAGGCCAACATTCAAAACTCTACATGTTCGAACCACTTTTGGACGTTCAAGCGTCACTTTTTTTGGCAGGCGCAATGGATTTTGCACCTCGCAAAAAGTGAGCTAAACGTGAGGTTTTTGCGGCAGTTTCAAAAAATATGGCAGGCGCGGGACGTTTGAAGAGGATCTGCAAAGATAAATTTCGCTTGACAGACGCAGTACAAGAGACATCTCTACCTGACATTCGGAGGTCAGGTTTGCTAAGATGATTTTGCGTGACTGGCCGCACTTTTTCGTGGCAGACGCCATACTTTAGACACATGAAATGGACAAAACTGCCGCATTTTTGATGTTGTCCACTTCGGATTTTTCAGGAAGTCTCGCAGAATTTCTTCGTTTTGGAGCTGCGCCTTTTCACTTGTTGAGGAAGCCTCGCACAATTGCTTCCTTCCTTTCAGCTTGATAGATGGATGGACGGATGGATAGAGATCGAGATGGGGATGGGCTTCGAGATGGAGCTGGACATGGGGATGGAGATGGAGATGAAAATAGGGATAGAGAGAGAGATAGAAAGATAGGTAGACAGACAGCTAGACAGACAGAGACAGACACAGACAGACACAGACAGACACAGACAGACACAGACAGAGACAGACGGACGGACGGACGGACAGACAGACAGACACACACACACACAGACACAGACACAGACACACACACACACAGACAGAGACAGACAGAGACAGAGACAGACACAGAGACAGACACAGACACAGACAGAGACAGACAGACAGACAGACAGAGACAGACAGAGACAGACAGAGACAGACAGAGACAGACAGAGACAGACAGACAGACAGGTAGGTAGGTAGGTAGGTCGAGAGATAGAGAGACAGAGAAAACGAGAGATACAGAGATTTGGAAAGATTTGCAGAGAGACTGATAAAGGGATAGAGAACTAGAACAAGATACTGAGAGAGATATGTAGATAGATGGATACATGGGTAGATGGACAGGTGGGTAAATTGATAGATGGATAGATGGATAGGAAGAAAGAAGGATAGATGGGGAGAGAGAGAGAGATATATATATCAATAGCTAGTGCCGGATAGACAGACAGCATAGATAGATAGATGGATGGATGGATGGATAGATAGATAGATAGGTAGGTAGGTAGGTAGATAGAAATATAGATAGATATATGGATGGAAATATGGATAGTTACATAGATGGATGGATGGATGGATGGGTGGATGGGTAGGTAGGTAGATAGATAGATAGATAGAGAGATGGATAGATGGATGGATGGATGGATGGATAGATAGATAGTTAGATAGACAGACAGTTAGTTAGATAGATAGTTAGATAGATGGGTGGGTAGATAGATAAATAGATAGATAGATAGACAGACAGATAGACAGATAGACAGATAGACAGATAGATAGTTAGACAGACAGACAGACAGATAGATATAATAGAGAGAGGGAGGGAGGGAGGGAGAGAGAGAGAGAGAGAGACAGAGAGACTGGTCCATCAGAAGGTTTGCCCTCCATCCATGCATCACAACAGCGCGCCCCTCTTTTAGGTTTCGTTTGAAACTTCCACCGCCGCCTTGCGTGGTACTACTGGAATTCCGTGGGCAAGCAAGCCGATTCTCAAAACCCACCCCACCCCTGCCCTTCCCCATACCATCCCTACCCCACCCGGCCCACCCCAGCCTTTCCCCACACCATTTCACCCTTGCAACCCATAAGTCATTGCACCCATCAAAATCTCAGACCACAACCCACCCACTCCGTTCCTGTGCCATCTCACCCTTGCAAGGTCACCACCCCTAATCATTCCAGTTCTTCCAACCCAGCCCTCCCGCAAGATCAGCCCACCGGCCACCCTTTCCCCATGTCATTTCACCCGTGCAAGCGTGTGTGCAGCTGAGAAAATCTTGTGTGGACAAGCAAGGCCCTTGCCCTATCTTGCTACCAAGGGTTCTATGCTTTCATTGTTTACTAGGGTTGGTTTTCATGCGATCCTATCATACGACTCATGATAGTTTCCTACAATGGCATTGGATCATCAACGGAGAAGTGGCTTAATCCCACATTGTTTGGACATAGCTTTACACAGCACCATGGGTGCATGCAATGTGCATGGTATTGTAATTTCTGTAGCCAACGGATGTAGGTTATTCTGGCATGCATCATTGTTTCTGACACCATGTTTTGCCATCATTTACTGAGACATCTTCAGAATCCATTCCGCTTGAAAATGAACCATGCATGAACGCGCCGTCCTGACTGTCAGGATATGTCCTACATGTGAACCATTGGCTTGGGGATGCATTGACGAACAGCGACAAAGACATGATGTCTTCCGCGCCATCCGGGGCAACCGGGCAATCTGGGCATTCCGGGGGATCTGACCAATCTGGGCGTTCCGGGGGATCCGGGCAATCTGAGCATTCCAAAAAATCCGAACAATCTGGGCAATCTGGTTCTGATGGGGAGGGGAAATCTCCGCAATCGGGCGAGTCCCAAACCCGACCAGCAGAATTTCCAGATGCGGTCGAAGATGGAGTTCGTCCAGTGGGTCTACAAGATCCAAATCATCAAGTTCGTCAGGATCCCGACCATGTTCGTCCGGTGGGTCTACAAGTTACCGGTCGTCGAGGTTATCCAGCAGGCCCACAGGACCTTAATCATCAAGTTCGTCCAGCAGGCCTACAGGATCCCAATCATGTTCGCCCAGCGGGTCCACAGGATCCCCATCATCGAGTTCGCCCAGCAAGGCCACAAGATCCCAATCATCAATGGCGCCCAGCGGGCCCAGGGGATTCGAGTCATCGAGTGCGAACAGTAGGCCCACAGGGTCCCAATCATCGATCTCCCTGCTTGCTCAATTCCTACCATCAAGCTGGCTGTTTGAAAGGAGACCGCTGTGAATATTCCCATCTTGCCCATGCAGATCAAATGCAGGCGCCCATCCCGGGGACCCGCCGCTCCTCCGCACGCAATCGTATTCGGCGGCGGGTGGCGAAGTTGCTGAACACAAGAAATCTATACTCGGTGCACCACCAGCTCCAGCAGGAGGCCCTGCAAGACTCTGATGCCAAGGATTCTCGGCGAAGTTCATGGGATTAATTTCAGCGGCATTCAAAAACCTATAGGGATTTATATAGCTTTATTTGGTTCAGAAATAATAGTGGATATTATCAGCCAACATGTTGCACATGTTCAATCTGTCGGGGATTTTACGGTTACAAATGCACAGGCACTATACCCAGAGATTACATACATACTACCGTATAGCGCATATACTATTTATGCTGGCACTCCATTCTTTATTTCTCATGCGCCAGCTATTTTATGCTCCATCCTACACCCACCCCAACCCACACCCCAGGGGGGAAGGGGGGATACTATCAACACACTGCTTATACAACCTCGCCCAACCCCAACCCACAAAACACGGGGGTTGGGGGATAGCGAGGCCATGCTTCAGGGCAAGGGGGGGCCCAGGACCTGGATATAGTAAAATCATGGGGAGTATTTCGACCAACATGACATGTGGGTATGTCACTTGTGGCCGTCAGCATCGGGAAAATAGTGGAGATTTCGGCAACTCATTTTGAGACAAAACCACTTATACCATTTCGTTTTTGATTGATAGGCAAAATGTTTCGCGTAATACGATGCGATTTTGGGGCAACGTAGTTTGGACAAGACCATATTTCGCTTGCGGGGTCCTAGTTACAGTTTGTGATAGGACCGTACAAAGCCGCGTAGAGAGAAAAGTGTTCCAGGATGTGGATACTTCTCAGTTCATCATTTCCAGGTGTTCAATGCTTTGCGTTGGCTAACCACAATGAAAGAAGGCGTAGAAAAAGCAGGGGATCGGCTATTGAGGAACTGATCCGACAGCATTTGATTGGCGCTGCGTGATGTTCGGCTTCAAGTCGCTGTGGTTGGAAGGCACTTCCAGGGTGACGCGATGCGAGGTCCGTGGATGGAAGAAGTGAAAAGATGGACAGTCTAACGAGGCATAATCACACCGACTGAGTCTATAGCCAAAAATGCTGTAGGTGGAACTCAAAAAATGTCACATTTATGTCATGTTTTTAATTTTCCTGCGCAATCCAAGAACAGGTTACACTGCACCAAATAATCTAGATGTGGATTTTACGCGGAACTTATTGTCGTTGATGATGGTTTGAAGACACATCATGGATGTTTCCGTTAAAAAATTGGTCGTACCACAATGTAGGGCATACTTGAACATTTCTTGATGGGAATGGCTGAGTACTTGGGGGTGCAGTCGGTTATTAATGAATCTAATTATGGTAAACCCTGTCATAAATTTGGATTAAAACCCTACAACTATTGTTGCGCAACTCATTTGTTAGTGGAACCGCACCCCCAAGTAAGTTTTGATTTGGTTGTTTAACGCTTTATTCAAGTCGCTTCGCGACGAGAACTGCCCGCACCCAAGGAATAGGACAGAGAGGAAAGAAGCGGGCCATACTTGGCCCAACCAAAAGGCGAATGGGGTCAAACTTGGCCGTCCTTGGCCTTAAGTTGGGCTGAACAGGAGCGCGCTTGGGCCCAACTTGGGCGTAACTTGCGCCGAACTCGGGCCAGTTTAACATGGCGCAACGTGGGCACCGGGCTTATGCCCAACTTGGTCCTGTGTGGGGGGCGTCTGGCGTGGAAGTTGAGCCCAAGACAGGCCCAATGCGGGCAACAATGGTTTTTGCACGAACCCCTGTCAAAGCCAAAAAAACGTTGGAAATAGAGGTAAAGATGCTAGTCTTCAGCTATCGCCCAACTTGGGCCTGGGCTGCAGTGCCCACAAGTTTCGCTATCTGGGGGCAAAGCGATGTGGCGGACCCCCTCCCACCTGCCCCATTTGGGCGCAAAGCGATCCAGATGGACCCCAAATAGAAGCTATGTGATGCACATGGACGCCCAGGTCACGTGTAACATTGCGCAACTTGGGACCCTTAATTTGGCGACAGCTTCACACCAAGTTGGGCCCAACGGAGACACAACATGGGGAACATAGCTTCAAACGAAGCGTGATCAATAGCCAAAAAACGCGGAAAATACTTAAGTCAAAACGGGCGTTTTGAGGATTTCGGATTGGGCAAGCTATGCCCCCCATTTCGAAGGAATAATTAAAGTAATAAAAACAATTAAGGGAAAAATTCCTCTTCATCATTTTAATTCTTCGAATTCACCTGTGCTTGGTGAATCCCCGGATTTCAATAGAACTATGTTTTTATTTTTTAATGGTGTAAGTATTGTAGTTATTCCTTGGGAAATGGCAAAACAGTTTAATTAATTAAAATAATTAAAGGCATTTGCCCGTAAATTATTTTAAGTGGTTTTTAATTATTTTAATTCCCTTATTTTTTCATTGGTTAAAACGGCCAAGTAATGGAATAATAAAAGTAATTGAAGGAATTATCCTATAAAGCTATTTTAGTTTTTTTCCGTGGAAACAGGAAAATAATTAAAACAGTTAAAGGAAGTTTTCCCAGTAAATAATTGACTTATTTTAGTTCTTTTGCCAAACCCCAAGGAATAAGATAATCAACATAATTAAAAAATAATTGTTTTGAAACCCCGGGATTTACCAAACACAGGTGAATTAGAATAATCAGTAAGAATAATTCAAAGGATTTTTTCCGTTAATTATTTGCATTTTTTCATATTCCTTCGGAAATGGCAAAATAATTCAGATAACCCAAATAATTGAAGGAATTATCCTGTGAATTATTTTGGTTATTTTAATTATTCCTTGGAAAACCGGAAAATAATTAATATAACTGAAGGAAATTTCCTATTAATTATTTACTTATCTAACTTATTGTAAATATATATATATATATACTTTTTAAATATTCCCTTGGAACGATGCTACACAAGCGTGCGGGTCACATACGCCCCAATCTTCCCTGATCTGTCCGGTCGCATCCGCTCGTAAACTACCACGCCTCGGCACCTTCAGCGCGGGCGGATTTTCATCAGTAACGGGGTTCATAAAAAAGCCGTCCCTTCCGGGCGGCATCTAAATTTAACCACTGCACCCACTATTTCTTACAGATGTAAGGTTGTCTCTATGAAGTGTGTTTCCTGGGATGCTCTTGAAATTTGAGGATCAACAACTGGATCAATGAACACCGGAAGAACGACAAAAACTTACCATTTCCAATAGGAATAGTCATCTTCAAAACCCATTGGTGAAATTCCTTTTCTTGTTAAGGGGTATACTCCACACATTCCTGTGCCAGAATGCGGATCTTGCCAGATCCCTTGCGCAACCCCTCCAGTTTCATGCTTTCCTCATTTTCAAACTTAGAAACGCCCTCAGCCTTGCATCTTTTCATTTTTCCTCACACCTTGAATGCCGCAGTTTAGAATGCCGCGGTTCAGCAAGAGAAAGACTTCGGTCCCTCGAGCAATCTCGTGCCAAATCGGGATTGATCACGTTTCAAGCCCCCCAAAGAGAGCGAAGTCACGCAATTCTAGGGGAACATGAAGATATTTTATGGACCACAGTGGTGTTGTGAAACATGTCAAAACCGATTCTGAGCGCTGCAGTGGCTGAATTTTGCATTGGACAGAAGTTGGGCTACAAGTGCCAACATATGAGGTGGAACCTGTCGGAACCTGCCGTTTTCTCGGTCAAATCTTGAGATGCGGTTTGTTTTGGTTTGCTTTTGCTGTATGTGCCAGAAACAGGAAGGTACGGCTGGCTGCAGTGTCCATTTCATTTTGACGCCAGCGCGAAGGTTCGGCGCGCTGTGAAACCATGTTCCGATTTTGTATTTAACGATCAGTCTTCACACGTGTGAAGGAAAAATGGACATCAAGACGAGTCTTCAGCAAGTTCAGCAAGTTTCATGTTTTCTTCATTTTCAAACTTAGAAACGCCCTCAGCCTTGCATCTTTTCATTTATCCTCACACCTTGAATGCCGCGGTTCAGAATGCCGCGGTTCAGCAAGAGAAAGACTTCCGCCACTGGAGCCGAATCGGGATTGATCACGTTTCAAGCCCCCCAAAGAGAGCGAAGTCACGCAATTCTAGGGGAACATGAACATATTTTATGGACCGCAGTGGTGTTGTGAAACATGTCAAAACCGATTCTCAGAGCTCCAGTGGCTGAATTTTGCATTGGACAGAAGTTGGGCTACAAGTGCCAACATATGAGGTGGAACCTGTCGGAACCTGCCGTTTTCTCGGTCAAATCTTGAGATGCGGTTTGTTTTGGTTTGCTTTTGCTGTATGTGCCAGAAACAGGAAGGTACGGCTGGCTGCAGTGTCCATTTCATTTTGACGCCAGCGCGAAGGTTCGGCGCGCTGTGAAACCATGTTCCGATTTTGTATCTAACGATCAGTCTTCACACGTGTGAAGGAAAAATGGACATCAAGACGAGTCTTCAGCAAGTTCAGCAAGTTTCATGCTTTCTTCATTTTCAAACTTCGAAACGCCCTCAGCCTTGCATCTTTTCATTTTTCCTCACACCTTGAATGCCGCGGTTCAGAATGCCGCGGTTCAGCAAGAGAAAGACTTCCGCCAGTCGAGCCGAATCGGGATTGATCACGTTTCAAGCCCCCCAAAGAGAGCGAAGTCACGCAATTCTAGGGGAACATGAAGATATTTTATGGACCGCAGTGGTGTTGTGAAACATGTCAAAACCGATTCTCAGAGCTGCAGGTGGCTGAATTTTGCATTGGACAGAAGTTGGGCTACAAGTGCCAACATATGACGTGGAACCTGTCGGAGCCTGCTGCTAATCGTCCTGTCTCGACACAAAGAGCGGTCTGAAATCACCGCACATGCCGAGATTCGAGGTGGAAAGCATTGTCCAGGGTCAATTCTTGAGATGTGTTGCATTTCTTGGTTTGATTTAGCTTTGCATGGATTCAGGTGTCAGAAACAGAAAGGTGGTGGTGCAGTTTCCATCGCATCCTGATTTTGTTCATGTTTCACTGGACATGCTTGTGCACAACAGAACCAATTCACTGCATGCTGGGACAAAATGTAGACAAAAAATGCTTCAAGAGTTTTTGGT